GTCTGCCAATAAGAATTGTAGGTGACAACATTCTTAGCCTCGCACCTTACTCTAAACTTAAGGCCTAAACACATGGACTGGATCCCCTATGCCTAACCCTACCTTCTCACACTAACTCTGACATGCGAGCACAACCCTTAACATCTAACTGTAAACCTCCACCCTGAGTCTCGTCCTAACCTCTAAAATTAACCATAACTTCAAAGGGAAGCCTCGAGGGAGGCATAACGAGGAAATAATGAACGGAAAAACGGGTTAACTGGAGCCTATCAAAATGACATACGTATTTCGTGAAAGAAAATATTAATTGGGGTCATATATCCGAAAATCAATCCAGTTTCTAGCGGACGTCCCCAGTGCTGATAGCATGGTTGCATCACAGCAAAAAAACAAACAACATAAATTAACTGGTACGTTGTCTTTGGCAGCTTGATGCTTTTGATATGCACGCATGTTTTTTTCTACCTTTTATTGTCTCAGAGGAATCCAACTGCAGCATAATGCTGAAGACGACACAGTGTTTCAACAACGGCATTTGCTACCGAGACGGTGCAAGGACTGGTTGTCACTGTCCGCGAGGTTTCACCGGTCCTCGATGTGAATACGGTCAGTTTATATGCCATTTTCACTTATTGCGGCTCACGCACGCCGATTTTTATTCCCAGTCTCAATTTGAGTAGTGGAAAGGTCTCCAGAAAACTGCGTTTTAACTGATTGCTCTATAGGAAATGTTAAGGTGTTTTGCAATTAGCTGCTCCCTCATTGGACAAGAGAGATTAGCAGAGACAATTGATTTTTTTCGTGTATTTCAGATGTTAGCACTCTTAAATTCCGAAAGAATTGTAAGTCTCTGTCTCTGCTTAGGTATTGCGCAGATTTATTTCATCCGATTACATGTATAATACCGAAGTTAATTCTCTGGTTGACGTCTTTTATTTCTTACTAAGCGAGGACTGTCTTTAGAGGTCCTTTTTGCGTTTAACTAATAACAATAACCTACTTTAACATTTTTAGTAACGCAACTTTCCCTTTTTTGTTGAATTCCGCCAATGTAAGGTTGAATTTCCCCTTTTCGTTAAATTCCGCCAATATAAGATTGAAATTCCCTAAATTAGCATAAGTGTGCCGAGTAACAGGAGTTTATGTTGATCGATTTTATTCTATTTAGTACATTGGAACAAATAGAAGTTTCTTTAATTCAATATTGTTTGATCATTTCCACCACAGTTAAATATTCATTTACACTCACTAGCCAAGAATTTAATGTCTAACCACAAAATGCGTTAGACAGTTGAGCGGGGGGAATAGTTATTTAGGGGGCTCTACAAGACAGTTTTGCCCTTATTAATGTTCTTTACTATTCCTTATTTGTAGATAACTAAGGTTCAATCGGGTGATAGGGAAGTTTTTATTGCTTGTACAGTGTACAGTGTTTATAATTAGCCGTACGGTAGTGCACCAGAGTTGTGTCAAAGTCCGCCGAAATTTTTAAAAACATTTCAGTCGTGCCCAACCAGGTAGAAAAACAGTGGAATACTGGAAACAGAATTTTGAAAGAACTGTAAACTTATCCATTAAACCGCGATCAGGAAGGGAGAGAAATATGCTTCATTTTAAACATATCATGCCAAAATTCTTTGCCAAAACGTCCTCCATTCACAGTACATTCTCACGTAGGTATTCGTGTTGCCTCTATTTCCATCCACTTAACAGTAACATAACTATTCGCCTGCTTATAACACTAGGCCTTACCGTTTAAACCTTTGGCATTAACGTTAACGCCAATTATTTGACCTTTTTATATTAGTTAACACCATACTGTTTATCCTATGTATAGTTGATTATCTCCTTTTCGGGTAATTACGCCCTTTTTGTTTCCCCTAACCCACTTATTATTTTTTAGTATTTCCCATCTTCGTCCCGCGCACACTGACATTATCTCGCTGCTCCTAAGCCTAGAAACTTTGTCTAACCGTGTCCATTGTCACATTACAGTTATTGATTCAATTTCGAGGGCTACGAATGTTAAAACGTTAACAAGCAAGAACCAGACCAACCTTAAGCCACTGGTTATAGAGTACGCAATTCCATACATTCACCATCAATAAAATAAGACACAAAAACCACACAACACCAGGAAATCACAAGAAAGGCACAGTGGTCAAAGACTGCAATTGTCCTTCAGTATGTCGCAAAATGGGAGCCAAATTGATGTTCCCTCAAATCAGCTCTAGCAGCGTGGGCTGATGACCTCATTGTTGTAGTTCAGCTAAACAATGAGGGATGAAAATCGGTTTCTAATGGGTATACTGAGCTAACCGATGTATTGATAAGAGACCTTACATGCGAATGGAAGGAAGAAAAAGTGGCAGCTCAATTTCAAAAGCTCGTCTGATGAAATCACGCAAAAGGATGATAAACGGGATAGTACAAATTATAGAGAAACCGTTTGAGTGTGTATGACTTCCTAAAGGCCTGATCACGGACATTTCAAAAAGGGACAATGAATAACTACTACTGACTTAATTAGTTTGTTGTTGTTGTTTTCAGAGACGGAGATTCGAGAATCGCACGACATAAATGTCTACTTTATAGTTATTAATTAGTATTGGTAGCTACTGCCATATCAGTGTGTCGGCTTGCTCTAAAACTCCAGTAATTTGGCAAGTCCATTGCCAAGCCAGTTGGCTTTCCTGAGAGTCGATGCTCAATACCCAAAAGGTCTATTATTTTTGAGGAGAATCGGCGTCGAGCATCGCCTTCATCTCCTTTCTTAAAAAAATTGGATTCTGGCCATGTGCAGTGCAGTCTTTTGGTCACACTAACATCCCCTTAAACCGTAAGATCCTACCAGTTATTTCCTCGATGGAGGTTTCACACTCCTCTGGAAGCCAGCCTTCTTAGTCTATAGGAAAAAAACACCCGATAGCCATAGGGCGGCTATTTAATAATAAAAATTCCATGAGGTTTATTTATCATACTTCTGGCCAGAGCAGAGATCGGAAATCTTTTTGACTCAGAGAGCCGAGAAAGCACGTATTTGGAAATATATTTCAGTAAGAGCCATATAACATATGTTAAGATTAAATTCAATGCGTGATTGGTCGAGAGTAAATTAATTCCGCTACACGTCTCTGTGGTAGCACATCATTGGAGGGAATAAATTCACAAAATCCGAAGTT